CATAAATTGGTAATTGTGTGGTCACAATCATGTAAAGAAGATTGATTACATATGTAATCTTGTAATCTAGAAGGAGGACGTGACACCCTTGTGGATCTTCTTAAGTTGTTGTCATTAGATATGGAGTTGTTATCAACAGAAGTGGAAGGATTGATATGAGGGGTAAATTCGGAATTATCTGGATCATCTAAAGAAACAGGAAGACAAGTCTCATTAGGATTGAACGGTTTATGTTTGGGTGTATGTAAGGGAAATATATCCTCCAAAAATTTGATATCACGACTAACAAGTATCTCGTTGGTTGTCAGATTGAGTACTTTGTAAGCTTTTTGAGCATAGGGATAGCCAATGAAAACACAAGGATTTGTGCGAGGCATGAATTTGTCCCTCCCTGATATTTGTGAGCTTACAAAACAGAGACAACCAAACGATTTTAGGTAAGTTAGATATGGTACTTCATTGTGTAATGCTTCAAAAGGAGTTTTGTGTTGCAGATTTTTCATTGGCATTCTGTTGATTAGATGAACAACAATTTTTACACACTCTCCCCAATATGCATGATCCAAGTCGGATTGAAAAAATAATGCTCTGGCAACTTCAAGTATGTGGCGATGTTTACGCTCAACTAGACCATTTTGTTGAGGACAATAAGGAGTTGATTTTTGATGTATGATGCCTTTGGACTGAAAATATTGAACTCCTTCATTGCTGGAACCAAGTTCATATGCATTATCGGTTCTTATGATTTTGACAGTTTTCTTGAATTGATTTTGAATAAGAGTAACAAAAGCTTTTATGAGAGAAAAAGCAGAACTCTTGTTAGTCAACAAATGTAACCATGTGTGTCTAGTAAAATCATCTACGATGGTAAGAAAGTATTTAAAGCCATCATGAGTACAATGTTTGTATGGTCCCCACACATCGATATGAATTAAATCAAAGGATTGATGAGAACTAGATTGGCTTTTTGGAAATGACAAACGTGTTTGCTTAGCTTGAGAACATGTAATACATGAATCAAATGTAAAATCATTACATTGAGAAGAAATGAGAGACAACTGTCTAAGCTTGTTCAATGGAACATGTCCTAATCTTCAATGCCACAACAATGTGTTAGAAGACTTATTGATTACATTGAAACTGGAAACAGATGGAAAAACTAAAGAACAAAAAGAAAGAGATATTTTGATAGTACGATGATCAAAGACATAAAGGTCATTGATCCTGTTTCCAAAGACACCAAGAGCTAAATCATTCTTTGATGAAGGGTCCTGCATAAGACAATGTTCATCAGTAAAGATGACAAATGTATGAAGTTGTCTTGTGAATTTAGGAATCGAAAGGAGGTTGTATTTAAATGAAGGAACATACAACACTCCATGAAGAACAATAGAATCATGTAAATATATATCACCAACAAAAGAAACTGTAGCATGATGTCCATCAGGAAGCCCAATGTAATGTGGCTGAATTAATGATTGAAATGAAGAAAACAAATCACGATTAGAGCAAATGTGATCTGTTGCACCAGAGTCTATGATCCAAGAAAAATTTGTATGCAACATGAAGATGATTTATAGACATTGGCAACAAAGTCATGATAAGAAAAAGGACTACCTTCGTTATTCATTGCCCCATCAGTTATAGAAGAATGAACTTGACTGGTAGAAGCTTGAGATAAAGATGCCTGGTTGTGAAAAAATTGCATTAATTGTTCATATTGTTCCACAGTAATTGGAGGAGAAGATGTTGATGAAGTGACATTCTGAACACTTGATTTAGGATCCTCTTTCTTTGATTTAGTGAATTTGAAGGTTGTAGGAAATCCAATGAGACGATAGCAATTGGATTTTGTATGACCTGATTTCTTACAGTGATTACAAATGAGATGTTTCTTGGAAGAAGAGGAATCAGTAGTGACATTCATTGCAATTGCATCAGTGTTAATGTTTGAGGGAATAGAAATTGTGCGTTGGCGTTCTTCTTGGATTATCATAGAATACGCAGCAGAAATTGTTGGAAGTGGTTTCATCATGAGTATTTGGCCTCTGATAATTTTCTATGATTCATTGAGACCCATCAACATCTGTATGAGACGTTGATCTTCAAGAAACTTCTGAATCGATGCAGTAGTACCACAGGTACAAGAAGGAAGACTTTGAATAATCCTCAATTCATCCCAGATCTTGGTTAATTTTGTGAAATAAGATGAAAAATCATCAGTACCTTGAGAAAGAGAATAGATCTGTTGTTGTATGTTGTAAAGAAGAGCGCCATCAGATTGCTCAAAACGTTGATGTAGTTCGTTCCATATCTCGTAAGCAGTAGGAAGAAATAGAACACTGTCAGCTAGATTCTTGTTCAAAGAGTTCAAAATCTAGCTAATCACCATTGAATTTGCACGATGCCAACTTGGATACGTAGTCGAATTGGTTGCAGGTGGTTGAATTGAACCATCAACAAATCCATACTTGTTTTTGGCTGATAATGACAGAATCATTAATCGTTTCCAGGAGTTAAACCCAACGCCATTGAAGACATTTGAAACAAGAATGGAATTAGGGTTATCAGAAGAACCAATGTAATAAGGGCTGGAAATGGGAATGATCGAAGAATCAGAGGAATCACTGTCAGGCATGATTGAATTTGAATTGAATCAGAAAGAAGAAAGAAGAAGATTGGATCGATTGCTAATCTGATACCATGTTAACTTGTAAGTGAAAGAGAGAAATGAGAAAGAGAAATGGAAGAATTAAAAGTGTATTCTTCATTAACTGAACTTTCAACCATACAAAGAATCGAGAATATATACAGAGAGCTACTAACAACCTTCTAACAGAAATTAAATAACTAATTTCAACTACTTGTAACTAATCTGTACATGTGGTTATTATAACGCTAACAAAGCAACAAACATGCTACTTTACTTTACAAAGCAATACCTTCCGACCCCGGCAACGCCGGAGAATCTTTTCTAGTTAATTAAAAAAATAATATAACAAGCGCAACAACGAATACCTTCTAAACTATAAATTTTTGAAAGAGCATGACAACTTCAACGCTACATATATTGTGACAAATATAATACCCCTCGCTAGTCGCTATGAACTAATAATATACCAGTCGCATTAACCCACTTCAACACGTATATGGGGTGTCAGTGGCAAACAAATGGAAGAAAGAAGCTTCAAAGTGAAGCAAGCTTGCATTTTCATCCACAAGTTTAAACCAAACAAAAGTGAAAAAATTTGAAAAAGGTGGGAGTACTTAGAAAAAGGCAAAAGAAAAGGGGAGGTTATAAACAAATAGTTTATTTTTGTAAGAAGATAAAAAGTGCTACTACTTTATTGAAAAGCGGAGTTGGGTGGGTGGTGCAACAGGAAGGAAAGAAGAGGGCTATATATAATTTTAACCCCTTAATTTTAGTGTAGCGACAATTTTAACCCCTTAACTCTTCTTCTTTTTTTTTTTTTTTTTTTTTTTTTTTTTGTGTTTTTTTTGTGCGTGTGTGTGTTATGAAAATGTAAATAAAAGTATAATTGAACTTTTAAGAGATAAAATCAAATATCAGTAAATTAGATTTTTAATGACACAATCTTATGTCAATATTTTCAAGGAAATTCAAAGCATGAGTTAATCACGTTTAATCAACACATTCAACAATTTGCATGATTTGTTTCACTATGAGAAAATATGAAGAATAATTATATAATCGGTTATATTCACAAAATAGTTCTAGAAATTAAATTATAAGAAAACTTCAAATCAATTAGTTATCAAGTTTTATTGTGATTATAGAAATTAATTACAAAACACTCAAATAATTGTTAGTAAAAACAATAGATAGACTCACTATAGTTATTCGCCCAAATTCTATAAAATTCATTATAATTTGATTTTTTTTGGGTTTAATCAGTAAAAGCATTGGGTATGGGTCACACCCATACTCATCCACAACGTTGCCACATCACCAACAATTCTTCATGACTTCTAGAGCGGGGGGGGGGGGGGGGGGGGGGGGGGGTATTCCCAGTCTTAACCTCGTCGAGGTGAAGAAAAACAGAGGAAAGAAAGGAGAGGAAGAAAGAAAGAGTATGATCGTTATGGGGGCGTTATGCCGGCAACGAGAAGCAACAAGCAACACCAAAACGAGAAGCAGGGGCGGTATTTGTGGCGTTATGGAGGTGCCACATAGGCATCTCTACGACGTTATGGTCCCGTACCGTTTGCTCTAAAAAAAACTTCTTCTCTAACTTAACCACAGAAACTTTGTATTTTTTTTTTAAAACAGTTTACTTTTTTTCCATTAAGTTGCAAATAGCAAATCGAAAAATATTTGTTAGGTGAAAGAAGTTTTTTTTTTAATTCAAACTTTCGATGGTTAAATAGAAAAAATATTTTTTTTCCGGTGGTTAAACCAAATAATTTTTAACATCTTATGGCTTTTATAGAATTCAAAGTTTTATATAATAGTTTTTTTGAAAATACAAACAAACTCTCAGTGGTTAAAATAAAGTTTTTTATTTTATTTTGTTTTGGTGGTTAAACCGAAAAAAACTAAACTATAATAATTTTTTAATGAATTTTTTTATTATTCATTTGAAAAAATTGTAAAATGATAGATGTTAGATATGACGAATACATGTCAGCCTATAACTATATGATTATTATACATATTTTTATAATCCTTATTTGTTTACTATAAACACTACAATTTGCATATATATATATATATATATATATATATATATATATATATATATATATATATATATATAGCTATGAATAAAACATATAACTATGATTAAAACATAAAAACTATAAAATAATCCAAAACAAAGTATAAGCTCTCTAGAAAATTTGGTCTATAACAAAAAAGTCAAATAGAATAGTTTGAAAAAGGATTCGAAAAAGGGAGGGTAGTAAAATGAAAATTTAGTATTTGAGGATGGGAAGAAGAATATATAATGAAATAAAAAAATGACGAGTCAGCAAAGTTCGCAAAAACTGAGAATCAAAAAGAGCGATGAGAGAGAAAGTTTAAGAGAGAGAAGATCTCAAGAGCCACATACACAACTTGTGGCTCTCCTTGCTTCTTGCTTTGCTAACGTGGCTGTACGATCAAAAGCCTACTCGACGACGACGACGACGACGAAATCACACACACCCAAAAGATCCGCACCCTTTGTTTGTCAGAGACAATAGATCTGTTCCTTTTATCCAACCAAAACCCATCGCTGAATTCTATTTTTCTGCCTGAAATGTCGGAGGGAAAAGATCCTGCTATTAAGTTGTTTGGTAAGACGATTCAGCTGCCTGACGGAGTTTTTAGTCAAGAGGCTGTATCAGGCGATGCCGCCGGAGGTGGAGGTGCAGGTGGAGATGCTGCTTCTGTCAAGAGTGAAGATCGGTCGTCTTCTTCTAGTTCATCGTCTGAAGTTGGGGAAGAACGTGAATCAGATGATAATAATAAGGTAAACGGTTAATTACTGATGGATTTTATCTCCCACAATCATATGATGATTTTGATTGTTTGGTTAGTAAAACCCTAGAAATGTTTGATTTCCCCAATCGTCTGATTCTTTTTGTTTCATTAATTAGGGCTTTATAGTGGATCTTATTTTGACGATTAGGGTTTGTCCTTATTAATTTTCATTGGGGTTTTGTATGTGATTGAACATAACCCGAATTTTGTAATTGTCTATGAGCAATTTATTTCAATCAACCATGATTTTGTAACTTTCTTCCTCGTTCAAATAAATTTAAACTATTCTTACTTAAATTCAGGTCGGGTAGATAAAATTATACAAATCGCTCTTTTCTCCATTGAAACCAATTTACTTATGCTCATGAATTTGGTTACTTTCAACGCTTGCTTACCGATCTTTGTTTATTTGTTCATGGATTACAATTTCTAACTGAAACTCGTGGTGAATTTAGGATCAATCAAACGACAAATCCACTGATAAAGAAGAGAATATAGCTCATTCTACAATCTCTTCAGAAATTACAGACCCAAATGCAACTTCAATGATAACCGAGACCACCAAAACACCTTCACCTGAAAACGAATCTGCTACTGCTAGTGTTACCACAAAAGCATCAAAATCAGAAGAAGATCAAAGTGATACAAGCAACAACAACCAAGAAAAAACCCTAAAAAAACCAGACAAGATCCTCCCTTGTCCTCGATGCAACAGCATGGATACCAAATTCTGCTACTACAACAACTACAATGTCAACCAACCTCGCCACTTCTGCAAAAACTGTCAAAGATACTGGACAGCTGGCGGCACTATGAGAAACGTTCCAGTAGGCGCCGGACGCCGTAAGAACAAAACATCCGCCTCTCAATACCGCCAGATCACTGTATCAGATTCTTCTCTTCCAATTGAGCTCAATCACACACTCATTAATCCCAATGGCACTGTTCTTACATTTGGTTCAGACACACCTCTCTGTGAATCAATGGCTTCTGTTCTTAAAATTGCAGACAAAACAATGATTCGTAAGCCTGAAGAGTTAATAATCAATGATGACAACACAAATAGACCTTCAGTTAATGATATGCAAAGTTGCCATGGATTCTCACCACAGGTGCCTTGTTTTCCCGGGGGCCCGCCCCCATGGGGTGCCCCGTATCCGTGGACTCCTCAAATGGGTCCCGTTTTTTGTCCACCTGGCTTCCCGATGCCATTCTACCCGGCCGGCCCGTATTGGGGTTGTCCTGTACCCGTACCCGTATCCGTATCCATACCCGGCCCGTATTGGGTTCCTCCTCCGGGTAATTACCATCCTGCCCCTCCTTCGGGTCCGATTTCGCCGACTCTGGGGAAACATTCGAGGGACGAGAATGTAAAATGCGGGGAGAGTGAAGAAGTGATGAAAGAAAACGAGAGTGAAAAGAGTCTTTGGGTTCCGAAAACATTGCGGATTGATGATCCTGATGAAGCTGCAAAAAGCTCAATATGGGCGACATTGGGAATAAAAAAAGATGGATCTGTTCCTGTGAATCGAGGGGGTATTTTCAAGGCGTTTGAATCTAAAAATGAAGAAAAGAAAATGATTCAAGAAACATCAACATCGCCTGCGTTACAAGCGAATCCTGCAGCTTTATCAAGGTCTCTTAATTTTCAAGAAAGTTCATGAGGAGTTTGTTTTTTGGCAATGGGAATTGTTTCAAAGGTTATTTGTTGCATGGAGATGGGGTTTCACTTTTCAGTGACATGCAAATGGGAAAGAAAGAAAGGTGAGATGATTTTTCCATATATCCTTTGTAGTTTTCCATTGTTGAAAAAGAGATAGAAGAGAAGACTGCAAGTTTTTTTGAATTTTAAAGTATTTTTGAGTCTCGTGTACATAATGTTATCTGTGAAATAGTGAAGAAGGTAGTAGAACAGAGTGAAAGGTGTGCACTGTGCAGTGAAATAAGTTTAGAATACCAAAATTCACAAACGTTAATCTTTAATCTTATTTTGACCTTGGAATGAGCCTCTTGATGATTTACATTATGTTTACATTTTATAATTTTGCTTATGTAAATAATAAAAACGTCCATCATTCGTTCCTTTAACGTGGTTAGAATCGCCCATGAAAATCAAAATACAGTTAATTGAGTTTTTAAGATTTCCTCATATCTAACCAAAGATGTTTTCCTTCAACCGGATTCTTGGAAGCATAGACATTAAACATGGTAATGGATTCTTGGAAGCATAGACATTAAACATGGTAATTAATCTCAGTATGAATCATTGATTTTTAAGGATGTTAATTGTTAGTATAGTTAAATATGGAAACGTCCCACTTACAACAGATCCCACCTAACTTTCCCCCTGCTTCGACAACAAAAAAAAGTCAAAATTACTCTAATTCCAAAAAGATGCAAGTGGAATGTTTCTAATATCAAACTCCCGAGCCTCTTCAATACTTACAAAATTTACATGGAAATCCTTTCTAAGCTTCCTGATTTTTTCAGATTTTTTTTTGGAATTACATGCACTTCTAATGTTGAAGGATATAGACCCACCATCATAATTAACTTCAACTCTCAAGATCCTTCTAGATCAGAACTGAATTCCCTTCCCAGTTTCACCAATTATCCGATCTCACCAGTAGTGAAGTTTTCAGAATTAATTAGACTATTCACCCTGCTTGAAACTAATTTGGACCGTTGAGGTCCGGAGGATGATTTGTGGGGGTCGCAAATCAAATCAGGTGTTGCCTTTTCTCCGTGAGGTTGAAGGTTCAAGTCCCGTCATGGACATATGTAACTAAGGAGTAGTTTAGCCGTTCAAAAAAAAGCATGATCAAAATATCATGGAGATCAACTATCTGACAATATCTTTAAACTAGACAAACATTACTTTGGAGCAGTGGCGGAGCCATAAATTTTGATACGTGGGTATAAACACTGTCAAGATATATTTTATGTAGTTATCTTATCATTGACTTTAAAAAATATGGTACAATCCCTGTAGTACTCCCACCACTGTTTGGGAGTGAGCGCCTTGATTAGCTTTAATTAACGTTCTCACAAGATTAAACCTCACTCTTTACGAGGCATGACGAAGCCATTGATGTTTTTAAGGCTCAATTTAAGACGTATGTGTGTGTATGTGCTTTCATTATTATTCAATTATATTGATCAACTTGAATAAATATACAAAAAAGAAAATGAATCACATTATTATAGATTTATAAAAAATATATCAGATTTTTTAAAGTGTTATATCAACAACTAATAAAAAAAGTAAAAAAAAAAATTTGATGGTTTCATGCCGATTAGAAAAAGAAAAAAAAATGAGAAAAAAATGTGTCGCTATTTTTCTAATAGAGGGATTTAAATGCCTATATTTACAAGTTAATGCGGAAAAGAAATTCTTAACTGAACTCATCATTTCAAGTTTGATTTTTTTTTTCTCCATTTTATAGGTTGCTATTTGAAAGACTTAATGTTCGTACCTAGAAATGAAGTCTCGCTAGTTGCTGTTGGAAAGAACCTATATCTTACATTGATAAAAAAAATTCTTACCATAGCGCACCATGATCCGCCTGACATGTGTCACGCCTAACATCACTGCCATGAAGGTTTTTAGGACGTAGATGCCGCGCCATGACACACTTTTTAGAACCCTACACACAACCCTATGTTTTTTGGATGGACGATGAGTCTCACATATTTAACCAAGAAAACCATTTCCTTTATAATTATTGGTTTTCAATTGGAAACTTTTCCGCCTTGTAAGTATCCACAAATCAATAATAATATTAAGACCCCCACATACCTCATAGAGAAATTAGAGAACCATTATGATTTAATAATGGTGGGGATATTATACATTGTTTCAAATTCTTTGACTTCTCCGGTCAAGCTACTACTGGTTCAGGGTTTCAAGGTTAGTGATGAGGGTATCACAAAGTTAATAAGGCTAGAGACAATTACCAACATCTATTTTAAATGCAAATTAGAAAAAGCCTAATGGACGTCAAAGGGACTTGTAGTCAATAATAAGTTACAATCGACTTCGCTAGTTGTCATAAGGGACATCAAATATAGTGTTAGGAGTCATGAAGGGAGAGTAGGGTTCACATTGGAGGAGTGTCGATTTCTCTTTTACTATACAAACTAGTTTTAAGGCTATGTATTTGGTACCGGTTCAATCGTTCATGTGTTCTAAACCATTTTTATTCGGTAAAAATCCGCTACGACGATAATTATGATATTCGGTTGGTTTAGATCACTTCGGGCATACTTTATAAAAAAAATGATTTTTCTTCGAAAAGGTTCAAGTTCCAAATCTATGATTTTTCTTCGAGTCGGTTCAATTTCAAAATTGGGTAATCGGTTTTTATGTGTATATATCTAGCTGACATGGTTATGTGATGGTAGTGGCGTACAAAATTATTATTAAGCAAGCAAACGCCACATACGTTTAATAAGGGAGCCAGTTGATATCGACTTGTCTCTGGGAGTGGTCGAGACCTTTGAGAAAGGTAGGGAGACCAATCAATAATTGGATTTATCACAAATGATTGATGTGTTTTAGTTATCGAATATGAGTGGTGGATTAAAGACAGTATTTGGCAGTTTATAGTCCGTTCTTTGAGGCAACTTGTGGTGGACAAATTATCGGTGGGTATGTTCGACTCTTTTAATTGGGTAAGATGGGTGCCATTAAAAGTTAATTGTTTTTCTTGGCGTGTTTTCAAGAACATAGTTTCTATTTTTTTCGAACCTTCTGCATCGAGGATTTTTCTTTCTTCTATTTTTTTGTCCGTTTGTTTGGAGGGTGAAGAGAATCTAAACATCTTTTTTAATTTCTCATATGCTTTAACGATTTGGAGATGGTTTCGACCATGGTCCTTTTTTTCTTCTTTAGCTGGCGCCCCAATGAGTGAGCTACACTGGACATTTTAAAGACATTTTCAAGTGGCAAAAAGAGATGTAAACTAAGGTTGGTGTTGATATACTTGGTTCTTTAGATGATCCCAATCAAAAGCTAGGAACAACATCGTTTTTAAGAGAAAAACGACTAATATGCAAACGATGGATGACTTTCTTATTTGCTATTTTAATTGGATTAAACATAAGGCTAGTTCACATTCTTTAGAATGGTGAGAAATGTATGTTAGGGGTTGGTAGGAACAAGGTCATTTATGAAATCAATAGGTATCCTTGATCTGCTTGAAGGATCGTTTGATCATTTTCCGAATATGATATTTCAACCTTGGATATCACGAAATCCAGATTATGTGGATAATCCGAAATTAATATTTTTCATAATTTAGTAAAATAATTCCAAAACATAATCCCATAAACTAAGGGCACTACCTTACCACCACACTGGGGCAAACCCCTTGTCCCTCACCATGTGATCAAATCGATATCAAACTCGTTTTACACAAATATGCACTTCGCATCTTCTAACTTGTTGATAAAATCAATAATTGAACTCAACTGATAATCTGTAATTTTATTTTTATTGTACTAAAATGCCTTGATTATACTAAAATTGTTATTACATAAGTATACAATCAACAAAATAACATATATTGTAATTAAATGTAAATACAAGTATCAATTCATAAGAAAAACATACTTGAATGTAGGTTTACAACATATTACAAACTCGAATTTGTGTAGAGATTGAGGCCTGCTTTGCAGTGTCCTAAGACAGAATTTTCCCTGCTAGGAAAATGTCCGGAGGATACAACAATCTAATCAAGATAGGATCTTGATTCTGACGAAATTTCTTTATGTTGCCATCATGAATATAACAATCTAATCAAGATAGTATCTTGATTCTGACGAAATTTCTCTATGTTCCCATCATGAATATAGGCTGTCATTGGCATTGCTAAACCGAAATTAACTCTTAAACCGTTAAACTGAAATTAACAGATTTAATTGAATAAGTCATATATATATATATATATATATATATATATATATATATATATATATATATATATATATATATATATATCCGGTGTTATCAAATCAGATGAGATAATGACATAAAATCATTAAGTTTGGCAGAAATATATAGGTTTACCCTTTTGTGGATTTTAGGTTCACCGAAATCGAATGTTTGGATTTTTTTTTCATTTTTTTCAAACTTACCATTTTTACAGTTTTACTGAACATTTCTGCAAACTTTAGAATTTTAATGAACAAGAATATCAAACTTAAGAGTTTTATGAACTAGAAAAAAAAGTAAAATTTAACATTTTTGCCGAATATAAAAGCTTTAATTAAGCAGAAATAGACAAAAAGATACTTTTTTTTTTCTAACATAAGTGAACCTAATATATGCATTAAGAGTAAATCCGCATATTTATGTCAAACTAATTTTTTGTTTTTTATAAACTTTGTTAAGTTAAATAAAAACAAATTAATTTACAAACTTCGTTAAGCTTTTATAATTTGTTCTTTAGAAAACATTTACACCTATCAAACTTTTTTCCAGATTATATAACACAACGATTTTAAATGAGACATTGACGTTTTGAATCACTATATAGGAACTTTATTTATTTATTTATTATTACAAATCAATCACCGTTTCTGTAAAATGCTAAAAAAAAAAAGAATAATACAGCATACGAGGATGAGATTTTATATAGACTGTTAAAGCGTCAAAAGGAAGAAAACATATACATATTTTTTTGGTTTAAGATCACCGATATTTGCAGTAAGATATTTTAAATGTGTGATGATTCAAAGTTAAGATTTAATGGATCATTATTATACTAAGCTCAATTCATGGAAACAACCAACCTGATCCTAGATTGTCTCTAGTTGTCAACGCCAAGCCGCTTTATCGAACTCCCTCCAGACCTTTCACCATCAGCTTCCATGGCTGCTTCCTTGTAGCTTCCCCATCTATAAATTAAATAACCATTCACAACAGAAGAAGAACCAAAACAGATTGAAGAAAGATTTGAAGATGGTTCGGTTGTTGTCTTTTCTCAAGGTCTTCAGCACCACAACTCTTTTGTTTCTGTTCTTCCAAACTGGTAAACTGATTATTCCGGGCTTTAATCCTCTAAATTATAAGTTTGATTCATTCATCTTGTTCTTGTAATGTAGGATCAGGTAGAGAACTGATCTTGAGATCTTCTAAGGGTGTTGATCATTTTGCTATCACTGCTGCCTCTCATCCATTTCACGTATATATACATATTCAGTCAGTTTTCTTGTTTTTCCATTAATTATAGCTTCATTTCTTTAGAGGTTTTGCATAAATTAAATGCTTTGGGATGAATCAGGAATCTAGGGAGATGATGGAGTTGGATTACGAAGATGCAGGCCCAAACACCAATACAAAATCTGGATTTATTCCTATTCCAGAAGCTCCAGCACCTCAAGGCTAAACTCTAATTAACTTCACCTTCACTAATTTCGTGGGAGAAGCAAGAAAAAACATTTTGAATTAAATTGTTTCATCCTCATTGATCCCTAACATATGAGTTATTTCAGTGTTGAATAAATTTTATTTTATTTTATTTTTATTTTTTTTTCTTTTCTCTTTTTTCAAATTTGTATGTTTCATTTGGAGCCTTGATGATTATTAATAAAGAAAATCGGCAGTCTACGAGTGGATGAATTTTAACGGTTTAATTACAGTAAGTTTCTTTGTAGATTTTTAAAGATGAGTGTTCAATTATCTCCATTCTTATTTATTTATTTATTTTTTATTGTTCATATAGCTACTTTTTCCTTGGAACAGAAAAAAAGAGCTATTTTTTATTGTTCAATTAAAGCCGAAAGTTTGTAAAAAAAATCATTTTTATTCTTTTTGCAGGTTTACCCAACAAAACTTAATATTTCTGTCAAACGTTTAATGAATGAGAAAAAAAAGGGTAATGTTGAACATTTCTTCTAAATGTAAGGGCTTTAAAAAATTAGAAATATGCAAAAGGGTAAAATTAAAAAAAAAAAGTTGTAAACATCCGAATTTAATGAACCTAAAATACCCAAAATGGTAAATCCTTACATTTCTGTCAAACTTAAGACTTTTATGTCATTTGCCCAAACCATTGGTTTTAGGTTTGGATTTTTTTAAACCAAAAAATTAGGTTGTTTCGATTTCTACTTTACAAACCGACCCAAAAATCCGAACCGATTATATAATCCTTGTAGAATAATATGTCATATATAAATAATTTTAGACAGAAAATTAACAAAGTTTATACTAGTGTAGTGGAAAAGAACGTGTCTCATATTCATAGGTTATAGGTTTGATTCTTTTAATTGTTTTTATTGTTTATTTTTAGTTGTCCCACATTCTAAATAAAATTAGTTGTTGTCTTCTATCCCACATTATACATACTTATAATTCGTAATAGGCTTATGAACAATGTCTGGTATTGAGCCGACTCAATACCAGGTGGTTTGGAGCTAGAGTGGTTTTCATCGGCTTCTTGGCTTCACTGCTACATGTTCTTCACCAATTATTTAGCCTCTTCCTCAACACAACCGACTCAAATACTTCCTGAACCTTTCAATAGCCATTGGACTGGACCTGCACAAAACAATTGATTCTCTCATCTTCTACCATGTCGTTGCTCTGCCTCCTTCTCTTTCTGGTCGTTCATGAGTGTGTTGTTGACTCCTTTGCATTGCACAAAGATCACTCTTTTTGAAGCCTCATCTCAATGTGGGTTTTTCCTTCAAATTCTTCTACATGTTCGTTGATTTTTCAAAAGTGTCCTGATAAATCAGGTATGTAATTTATTAAGGATTTCTGATTAAATAAATAAATAACCCCATAGATGGCAACTATCGCTGGTATGAACCAATAAAACATACATAGTTCTCTTTGAAGCCTCATTTTCGTGTGGGGGTTTCCTTCAAATTAATCTACATGTTCGTATTTTATGTAGTTTTAATATAAGTTTTTCATTTGTTTGCCCTTTACATTTGAAGATGGAGAAGGATATCATAAACAGTAGCATCACTAGTGCTGGAATTGAAAAAACTCCGGTTTGCACACCAACTATTTGTTAATATGTATCAGTGAACTTCAATTACTTGATTCCAAAATTGGTTATTCCCTGTTTAATCGGTCACTTTTCAATTTGGGGAAATCAGTTACAACATGTCTTGCAAGTTATCTTACTTGTGACATTGTTTTATTATTATTATTATTATTATTATTATTATTATTATAGGTTATTATGGAGAAAGAAGCTCGAGGTTTGATGAAGGAATCAGAAAGGTTTCTAATATTGACAAACATAGATAGGCTATGGACAAAACACTTGCAATCACTTAAATTTGTTCAACAACTAGTAGGGTTACATGGGTATGCACAATGAGATCCGCTAATCGAGTACAAGCTGGAAGGCTGCAATTTATTTATTGAGATGTAGGCATAAATAAGAAGAAATGTTATATATTCTACATGCCAGATACAATTTGTGTAAGAACAAATATTTTTAAGTTAAATATATTGTAAAATATCATTTTGATGCTAAGGACATTTTGGTCATTTTTATGTTATTAATTAAGACTTGTGAACTGTTTTAGTTATGTTTATATGCATTTATCAAGTGTTATTAAACTATTAGAATGCGATGTTATGTGTTAGAATGAAATGGAATTGGTAAAAGCAAGTGTGGAATGGAAAGGCATTGTTAAAGGTATGGAAATGAGGAATAAAGCCTTACCACGACGCGGTAAAGGGGTTACCGCAGTGTGGTGAGCGAGGCAGTGATTTGGTTCATTCTCCATCGTAAGTCGTAGGAAATGTATTTTGGTCCACAACGCGGTGTATGGGTGCCACAACACGGTGTATGGGCGCCACAACGCGGTGAATAAAGTAGGTTGCTGTGAAGATTGTTTGTAACGACGTGAAGAAAGGGAAACCACGAGTTCATTTAACCCACTACGACATGGTGAGGTCTTGTATGCATCGTGATTTCGAGCAGTGATATATTCCATGTTAGAGCTCATTTTTCATAATCACACACCCAAATGTAACATTTGGTTTTTAGGCACTTCCATTTTTGACCCTTATATTGAGAATTATTGCATTTTTGGTCCCTAAGTGAGAAAAGAGTGCAAAATAGGCCTTAGTGGCATTTTCGTAAAATTACGTCTTGAGGAGTACGCGGTGAGTACGTGCATATGGTGGGCGTACTAGGGCACACCCTAGTACGCTAGCCGTACACTCGTACGCAGGGCATACGTAGCCAGTTTCCAAACCCTAGTTTTTAGGGTTTTGCCCATATTTAAACACCATTAAGCCCCATTTCCTTCCCCATTTACAGCCTCCATCATCATAAACTTCTTCTCTTGCAACCCTAACCCAGTTAAGCATTTGGAAGTTTGAGTGTGAGCTTTTTGTATGTTCTAAAGGAAGAAAAAGGTGGTGGTGAAGCTTGGAAGCTAGAAGCAAGCTTGGATCTGGAAGTTTTGCATCACTCCCCATCATTAGAAGGTATAAAGTTCATACCTTGATGACTAGTTTGTGAGATATTGTTTATGTGTTGATTTTATGTCCTTTTGCTACCAAGTTGATGAGTCTTGAGCATGGCATGTTCTTGACCCATTAAGCCGTCCTTTCAGACCTTAGGAGGGGTCTTAAGCTATAAAAATGTAGTATTAAGGGTTGGTTTTGCTCCATGCATGGTATAGGATGTCTTAAGGCATTAAGATGTTGAGTTTTTATGGATTAAGCACTTAATGTACATGAAGAGTCATAAAGTTGGAAACTTTATGACTCTTAGTGGTATTTTGACCGTGGATCTGAAGATTGGACGTAAGAGCTTAAAGCAATAAGCTCTTAAAAGATTTTGGGGAAGCTAGGCGTACGCCCTGCATAATTTGAGTACGCAGTGCGCACGTGGTCAAGCCCCTCGATGGCGGTCAACGTTGGAGTACGCCCCACATACGTGCACTGTGTTGACTCGGCTGGGTTGACTCAGTTGACTTATGGATTTTGACCAGTTTGACTTTGGCTTTGACCAAGTTTGACTAATGGGTTTTTTGGGCATTTTGGTTGGTGTTTGAGAATTTAGTATTTTGGATGGATAGGTGTTAGTTAGAGTTGAGATTCGGAGTCGGGACCTCATCAACTATTGATCAGATCGAGAGGTGAGTTTTCCTCAGTGTACTTACAGGTCGAAGGCACCAAGGCTGACCCATTGGATTAGATATCCTGTTATGTGATAGTATGTTATCAAACTGTAGTGATCTGTTAGATTGGTATCCTGGTATATAGGATGATGTTATGCTTAGTGATCTGTAAGATCTGCCTGATTGTTTGTTGACTGGTTATATGTATGTTTATCTGTTATGTATATGTCGACATGTTGTGTGTGGTTCGGTTGAGGCAGACCAGTGTAGACTGAAGGACAAGAGACCCAGGGCGTGCCGGATAGACTGTAGGCCTGAGAGGCGTACCATTCAGACCGAAGTCCCAGAGAACGGTCCAGATAGGCTGAAGGCCCGGTGAGGCGTTCCAGCATGCTGGAGGTTCTGTGAGCGTTCCAGGTAGTCTATAGGCCGGTGCGACGTTCCAGTCAGGCTGAAGGCTTTGTATGCATTCTATTGTTTGTTATGTGTTTGTTGTGGTACTTTCGGGGAACTCACTAAGCTTCGTGCTTACAGTTTTTGTTTTTGGTTTCAGGTACTTCAGAGGACCATTGCAAGGTGAAGGTGTGACCGTACACATCCTTGGTTTGACAACTGATTGGATCTTGGGAGACTCTGATTTTAAATAATGTTTTGTAAACACTTTTATTAGTAAATGGGTTGTTTTGAAAGGTTTAAAATTTGTTGAAATTTTTGGATGTTACACCAAACCCTAGCGAGAAGAAGTATGGTGATTTCAAGGTTCAAGAGAGTTCAAGTGGCGATTTTACTTGCTTGGGTCTAGGTAAGAACATCTCAAACCCTGGTAGTGTTTGTTTTCTCCATTTTAAAGCATTTGAAGGTTTTAATGGCGAAGTTCGAGTTTAGGTTTTTGATGTTAGATTCTTCCAAGTAATCTTGCTAATAATGTTTGATTAAGTGTCTAGAAGCTTAATCCATGAATTGTATAAAGTTTTAATGGTTGAAATCCATGATTTGATTCTAGGGTTTTGAAACCATAGAATGTAAATGAAAGATGATGATTGGGTATCATAATCTTGCTGAGCTAAGTGTTATTTAGCTTGTTTGATGTAGTTTGACAAGTATTTTAGCAAAGGGTGATCAAGTTAGGGTTTTATTCCAAAATACGAGTTTTTGGCTAAAATCACAAGTGATGTATTAATGGATTATGATATGTATGAGGGGCTTAATGTATGTAAATGTTCCAGGTGGTAACAAGGAAGGATTTAGAGCCTCTTAAGATAAGCTTTATAGAAGTTGGAAGTAGGCTACT